GATTCTTCTTTGTATTTAATCTAGAATCTCTAAATATATAGCATATATATATATATATATATATATGAAGAAATATAGTCTTAAGATGTGCTATATTTATGAGATAAAGTGCCCAATATCGGAGATAGAGTGTGTGTAAATATAAAAGTGAACATAGAAGTCAACACTTAGAGGTGACAGTCTGTTTCATGCTAGATTCAATCATCAGGCCTGACAATTGCATCTAGCATGAAACAGACTTCTATCTAGGTGTTGACTTCTATACTTCTATGTTCACCTTATATATATATATATATATATATATATATATATATATAGATAGATAGATAGATAGATAGATAGATAGATAGATAGATAGATAGATAGATAGATAGATATCACTGTTTTTGCTGCTGTATTCTCTGGACTTCTTCAGGTGGTGATCCAAGTTTGTTGATGTGGGTGTCCTGCAGGGAATTTCAAATTGAACCCCTTATTACAGGAGTAGATTGTTCTTATTCTGCTGTCCACATCTAGAGATATTTAATCTTGTTCTTACTACTCAGTTATTGCTCACCCTGTTTCAACTGAAACTAAGTCTGTACAACCTGGCACAAAGATTGAACTCACAATTACCATGTTTGTGATTTCAGTGATATAATAATCATGAGTTCAATCCCCGGTTTGGGGAGTGCAGACAGACTCAGTGGAAACAGGGTGAGCGATAAGTAAGCAGTACAAAATAAGATTATATTCTTAAATGTGGACAATGGAAAAAGAACACTCTACTCTCATAGATTAAATAGAATATTTAGGCTATCTGTCTATATTTTGAAATTCCAATCATTTGAAGAAGACCAGAGTGTACAACAGCTGAAATGTCATGAATATGGAAACAAAGATGAGGACAACAGTCTGAACTAGATAGCATAAATGTTTAGGCGAGTTTGGCTCAAGAAAAAAATAATGTGTGATTTTATTAAGATTGAACTCATGGTAGTGGCCTAGAAAGATGTGCTTGCTAACCACAGCTCAATATGAGGCACCTAAGCTAAGTTTTGTGTCTTTTACCTTTTAAAGTAGAATCTGGCTAAATTCAAAAACTTTCACCCACAGAAGAAATGTCAGAATATTTTTCTCTGGAGTTGAAGAGTTGGTGCAATCAAAAACCATTAATGTGTGAAAGACTTTTGGGAATTTGCCTGTCATGATTTGTTTATATTGGCAGAAAGAATCTCTTGAGGCAACACTCACTCACTCAAAATTCTCTCTCTCTCTCTGTCAGTGACCAAGTGGGATTTTGAGAGACTTGTAATGGCACAAGGGTATTACCATTTTTATGAGATTCATTCTTAAAGGTGTATGTTCTGGGGATGTTGACAAATTCTTTGATGGGTGATGAAGGAGAATGGTTGGATATGTAATGATGATAAGATCATTTATAGTCTGTCATCAGATTAAACTGATCAAATTTGACAAGGCGAATCTCTGAAAAATATAATTGTAGATAATATAAATTAGACTAACAAGTGAAAAATATAGTTTATTTTGCTGGCAATAAAGTTCAATAATATAAAAAACATTGTCCATCTATTTTTATAGTAAAAATCATAGTTGATACATTTTATAGTAAAAATCATTGTCATTTCATTTTTATAGTCAAAATCATTGTTGATGCATTTTTATAGTAAAAATCAATGGCAATTCATTTTTATAGTCAAAGTCATTGTCAATGTATTTCATGGTAAAAATCATTGGATGTGTATTTCTATAATAAAATTCTTTATCAATGTATTTTTAAAGTAAAAATACTTGGCAATGTATTATTATGATAAAATTATTTGCCAATACATGTGTACAGTAAATTGTACAAATTACTGGCCAATGCATTTCTAGAGTAAAAGTAATTGGCCATGCATTTCTATAATAAAAGTCAAATAGTAAATGCTTTTTTATAGTATAGCAATACATTTTTATAGCAATATTTTTATGGTCAAAATAATTAGTAATGTATTTTTTATAGTAAAAGTTATCTATATCTATAATTCTCAAAATGTGTATATGTGTGTCTGTGTGTGCGTGTATAATTCTCAAAATGTGTGTGTGCATGTATGTCTGTGTGATCGGATGTTGTTTATGCATTTCCACAGTTTTCATTCGATTTCAATGAAATTTTTTTGTTTGATAGATAATTCTTCAGTGCTGGTTTTGAGTCCATTTTGTTGGTGACAATGGCTCTCTACTACTTCCTGTCCATTATAACTTTCAGCAATGTTTTACTATTTAGTATCTGTTCTTGGATATATATCTTTTATAAAAGCTTTAATAAAAATAAATAGTTTAAATTATTACAATAATATTATTTATTTTTATACAGTCCCCTTTTCAGAACCACCCCAAATTCAAATTGTTAACACCCCCTATTTGGGGATGTGCCTCTGTTGCACCCAAATGTTGTTATTAATATTGATTTTCAGGTGGGCTGACTTTAAACTTAAACTGCTTCAATTGAACGGCAAAAATTCCCTGTAATGAAAGACTTGGTCAAAGATGGATTATACTGATAGTTAGTTAATATGTGTATACTATCATAGAAATTATTGACTAATGCATTTATATAGTAAATATCATTGGCAATGTGCTTTTATAGTAAAAAATTATTGGCAATACATTTTTATGGTCAAAATAATTAATAATGTATTTTTTATACTAAAAGTCATTTACTAATTACCATATAGAAATTATTGACTAATACATTTTTATAGTAAATATCATTGGCAATACATTTTTATAGTAAATATCATTGGCAATACATTTTTATAATAAATATCATTGGCAATGCATTTTTATAGTAAATATCATTGGCAATACATTTTATAGTAAATATCATTGGCAATATTTTTTATAGTAAATATCATTGGCAATACATTTTATAGTAAATATCATTGGCAATGCATTTTATAGTAAATATCATTGGCAATACATTTTTATAATATATATCATTGGCAATGCATTTTTATAGTAAATATCATTGGCAATACATTTTTATAGTAAATATCATTGGCAATACATTTTTATAGTAAATATCATTGGCAATGCATTTTTATAGTAAATATCATTGGCAATACATTTTTATAATATATATCATTGGCAATGCATTTTTATAGTAAATATCATTGGCAATTTTTTTTTTTATAGTAAATATCATTGGCAATACATTTTTAATATATATCATTGTAAATATCATTGGCAATACATTTTTATAGTAAATATCATTGGCAATGCATTTTTATAAATATCATATCATTGGCAATACATTTTATAATATATATCATTGGCAATGCATTTTTATAGTAAATATCATTGGCAATACATTTTTATTTTAATACATTTTTAATATCATTGGCAATACATTTTTATAGTAAATATCATAATATTTTTTATAGTAAATATCATTGGCAATACATTTTTATATATATATCATTGGCAATGCATTTTATAGTAAATATCATTGGCAATACATTTTATAATATAAATATCATTGGCAATGCATTTTTATAGTAAATATCATTGGCAATGCATTTTATAGTAAATATCATTGGCAATGCATTTTTTTATAGTAAATATCATTGGCAATGCATTTTTATAGTAAATATTGGCAATACATTTTTATAGTAAATATCATTGGCAATACATTTTTATAGTAAATATCATTGGCAATGCATTTTTATAGTAAATATCATTGGCAATACATTTTTATAATATATATCATTGGCAATGCATTTTTATAGTAAATATCATTGGCAATACATTTTTATAGTAAATATCATTGGCAATGCATTTTTATAGTAAATATCATTTTTTTATAGTAAATATCATTGGCAATAGCATTTTTTTTATAGTAAATATCATTGGCAATACATTTTTATAGTAAATGTCATTGGCAATACATTTTTATAATAAATATCATTGGCAATGCATTTTTATAGTAAATATCATTGGCAATGCATTTTTATATGTAAAAAGTCATTAGAAATATTTTAATTCTTTTATAATAAAATATCACTGACAATGTATTTCTCTTGTTAAAACCCAACTTAAGAATATGATGGAAATTTGTGAAAGGTAAATTTATTTTGTGAGATTTGACAACATTCAAATATTGACCACATCTTGTTTTGATAATTTGTTTTGTATCTTCTTGTTTCTGCATCATTTCCATCACTTGTCACCCATAACTCAAAAAGGGAATCACATTTTCATTTGTTTAATTAGAGAATTCTTCATTTGCACACAGGGGAACTTTTAATGCCATTTCAATGTAATTGCCAAGGTTTTTATCTCTTAGAAAAATTTCTGCTGTTTTTATTTGTGAATCAAGCTTGTTCTTGTTAATGAAGCAAATAACAGAATGAGAAAGAATTAAAAAAAAAAGAGAAAGAGAGAAAATAGTAGTTAAAAAAGAAAAACGAAAGAGAGAAATAAAAAACAGAAAAGAGAGTTAAATAAAGAACTAGAAAGAGAGTAAGAAAAGAGAGAAAAAAAGCAAGAAAAAACAATAAGAAAAAGAAAATTAAGAGAGAAATGAAGAGAAAAAGAGTGAGATGGCAAGAAAGCAGAGGTGTGAGAAAGAGAAAGAAAATACCAAGAAGAGAGAGAAAAAAGTTGAAAGAGAGTAAGAGGGAAAGAAAGGTAGAAAAAAAAAGCCCAAAAAATGGAAAAGAGAGAGAGAAAGGATGAAGAAACAATGAAAGGATGATTTTTTTTATTTGTCATTCAACCAATTAACAACATTTGGTTATTGACATAGAAAATTGCAATCAATAAATTTGTGCTTTTTTATGGATGGATTGGTGAATAGGTGATTGTAAGTGAAAATTGTCTACTGAATTGTGTATTAGCAAATGGAACCAGCAATAAGGTTTCACTCCTGGTTACTGATCTTCACTCTGTAAAAGATACCTTGAAGAGTGGCTTTTTGGGAATGATTTTTGTTTATTTTCTAGTAATTGCCTGGAGTTTTATAAAACCATTTTTGGCAACACTTTGGAGACCTTATAAGAATGACTTGAGAAAACAGATATTTGGAGATAATCAATGGCTGAATTGGCATTGAAGGAAAATTGGGAAAAGAAAACAGGAAGATTATAATGAAGGAGAAAGGGGATGAAAAAGAGAAAGAAAGAGGGGGAATGTAAACAAAGGAAGGAAAAAGAAAGGAGACTGTGAAAAAAAAGAAAAATATGCTAATGAAGAAAGAAGGAAAGCAGAATTTGCAAAAATAGAGTGGGGAAGAAAAGGAAGAAAGTAGAAGAGGAAAAAGTAGGAGAAGGAAGACAAAATGAGTTGAAGAAGAGAAAGAAAGAGGTTAAGTAACAAGAGGAAGAGAAAAGGAGTTGGAGAAGCAGAAGTAAATGGTTAAGCAGAAGAAGAAAGACAAAGGGAGTTGGAAAAATAGGAATGAAAAGTTGAAAGAAGTAGGAACTGGAAGAACAGATTTGAATATGAGGTGAAAGTAAAAAAGCTCATGAAGTGGGTGGTGAATGGAAGAAGAAGGAGGAGGAGGAGATGAGGAGGAGAGGAGGAGGAGAAGCAGCAGCAGCATCAGCAAAGATGGTAGAAGAAGGTAGGAAGGTGAAAATGTTTTTTTTTTAAAAAAAGTAACCAAATGACAGACAGGTAAAATAGAAAACAAAAATTAAAAAATAACTGAGAATACTGAAAAAACATGCCACTAAAAATATTAACAAAGAAAAGAAAAAAAAATTACAACCTGTTCAGCTGATTGTTTGTGAAAATTAGAGATGCTGGTTAAGATGGGAAAGATTGATTAGAAAATATGGTGCATACATGACGAAGTAAAAAAAAAAGAAACAATAAGTTAGTTGATTAATTTTGAGGGAGAGATTAATATCACAGCAAATTCAAGCATTTCTATCTATGAAGATCTACATTTTGGTTGACACACACCCATATATATATATATATATATATATATATATATATATATATATATACTATGAAAATTCAAAGCCTGTCAGATGACCAAATCAAAAAGGCAATAAAAGGAAATAGTAACAATAAATAAGGCAATAACCAAGCAAAAAAAAAAAAAGATCCAAGAGAATGAAATATAAACTAAGAAAAAAAAGTTCAAATGGCAGATACCAATCCAAACTAACCAACAGTGGTCTATGCTGAGGATATCAAGACTTAGCAAAATTGCTTCACAGCATCACACAGAGAAAATGACAAAGTTTGGACTACTACTTAATTTTTACACTCCTGTGATTGTCAGGCAACCAGAATGCTATATCTATATCTATCTATATATATATATATATATATATATATATATATATATATATATATATACACGCATATATATATATATATTATGAAATGGACTGTCTGACAATTATCTTAAAATATGTCATTTGTTAATATTAAGATATGCTTTGAGCAGATATGAGCATTCGAGAAAAATGGTGGGAAATTTGTAGTTTAAAAACAGTGATTTAACCTTGCTAACGAGATGCTTCCTCTGTAGCTAAATGGTACAGCACGTCAGGCTATAAATAAATAAAAATTTATAATAATTTAAAAGAACTTGAATTTATGTAAAATCGCTATGTATCAAGGGAGATAACTACCTTTTCTGCATAAAATATCGTCGTTATTTCTAATAGAAATGTTTGGTGCTAATTAAAATTTATCATTATAATATATCGTTTTAGGGTTTTTCGACAATTAGGTCATGTGTGGTCTTCGAGACTAATCCAGTTTTTCCTTCGTTTTTCAAAGATGCTTTGTCCTACCTCCGATAAATTGCCATGACATTAGTTGTCGATACATTGACATAAACGTCAATTCACACCTCCACAAAACCAATCACCACGGTTAGACATGTTTCTCTTATTTCCAACTAATTTTTTCTGCTAAAAAATTAAATAATATCTGTTTCAAATTACAAAACCCAAAATAACTTTTGAAAAGTATAATTAAATTTATTTGATTTTGAAACAAAATTTCACTTTTTTGTTTACAAAGTTGTTAGACATGATCGATTTTATTAAATTTTGCAAGATTCTTAACTATAATTTCGGAATTAAAAAAATTTAAAAAAATATTTTGGTCTCTCTTCTTAATAATAACATAAACATTTAGAAAAAACTCGTTTAATCAAGTTTTTTTTTTCATCATTTATGCTTTTTTTTTTTTTTTATTGAATATTAATTTTAATTGTGGTATGCGTTGTATCCAGTCTGTTCACGACTCGGTCATTGGTCAGCATTTACTAGACAATTCGGAGTGTGCGGCAAAATATAGTGACGATTCGTTTACTTTACTGACATATGCAGAACTCGGTCAGCTCAGAATTTACGCATACGAGAAGCGGTTTTTATTAAATTACATCAAACGTTATTTTTGTTTGTTCTCTCAATTTTTTAAAGATAAGTCTTATTCCAACAACGAACGCTTTATATTGGCTTTTTCTTAGTCTCGAGGTGGTGTAATGGTTAGCAAAATTAGTAGTGAGTTCGATTCCACTGAAAACATCTAAGGATCCTAATGTCAATTGTCAGAGGAATTCACACCAAGAAATTATAACTTTAAGTCAAAGTTTGTTTTTTATTAAGTTTTTGGCATTCTTTTGAAATTATAAATTTTAAATCACAATTTGTTTAGCTTGCCTTTGAAAAAATCACCAAAAATCAGGAAAATGTTATTCAGGGTGCTATACAATAAAAAAAAAAAAAAAAGAAAATATCTGTTTGGCTTGTTTATCAGGGTCAAAGACCCCTTTAAAATTAGCGCACCCAAGTCGCCCACATTTGAGGTGATCGCAAAGGTCAACCCAACCAGAGTGGAAGAGTCTCGTTTATAAATATTTTTATTTTGGGATGAATATTTTGGTTTGGGTGAATTAAAATTTTGGGCGAATTAACAGAAAAGATCGTTTAATTTTCTTCCTTCTTTTATTAATAAATTTGTATTTTAGTTATGGCTCCTTTCTTCTCGCATAGCTAATTGTTATTCTGTGAATTTAATATCTACCAACGTATTCTTATGACAAATATTGGTTGAAAAGGATCCTTAAAAGAGGATGCTTTCATGCGTTTTAAAATCTATATATAAGTTTTGTGGTGTCAAACTTCTGTTTATAATATATATATGTATAATAATGTAAAATAATATATATATATATATATATATATATATATTGATATTTATATCTATATACACACACTTTTCACACACACACACACACACACACACACACACACACACACACACACACACACACACACACACACACATATATATATATATATATCAGGTCATCCCATAAGTTCTGTCCGAATTTTGAATAAAGAAAACAAGTGACCAAATGTTACATTTAATTCCAGATTCAATCAACAATGTATTTTCCCTGATTATCTAATTCCATTACTGTAAAATTCTTTTGGCTTTGATTCGAAGAACTCACAAATGTCAGTTTTAACCTATTCCTGTCTTACAAAAGCTGTTTCTTCCAAATGATTCTGTAAGCTAAGAAACAAATGGTAGTCTGAAGGAGCAAGATCGGGAGAATAAGGTGGATGAGGAATTTTCTCCCAACCAAGTTCTTCGATCTTTTGTGACGTGATTCTTGCTGTGTGGGGTCGCGCATTGTCCTGATGAAACATCACCTCTTTTCGATTCACTAGAGCAGGTGTTTTTTCCTCAAAGCTTGGTTCAAACGCTCTAATTGCTGACAGTATATTTGAGCATTAATTGTTGCATTAGGTGGTAAGAATTCAAAGTGGATTATTCCTTGGCGATCCCACCAGATTGAAAGAAGAACCTTTTTCCCCTGAAGTTCCCTTCTCGGATGTGGCTGGGGTCTTTCCCCTTTACCAAGCCACTGTCTATGACGCTTAACATTTCAATAAAAGATCCATTTTTCGTCGCCAGTCACAAGTCTATCCAAAAAAGGTGAAACAAGTTGGCGAGAATGGAGAGAAGAGCAGATGTCAACTCGGAATTTGAGATTGTTTTCAGACAATTCATGAGGCACACATTTTCCAAGTTTAGGAACTTTCCAAGTTGTTGAAGATGACGATGGACAGTTGTATGGTCTGAACTGAGAACCACTGCCAATTCCTCAACTGATAAAGTAGGATTTTCTTCAAGGGCTGCTTCAAGAAGCTTTTCATCCAACTCAATTGGACGTCCGGTTCGATCTTCATCTTCAAGGGTGAAATCTCCACCTATGAATTTTGCAAACCATCTTCTGCAAGTTCTTTCATTCATACATTCCTCTCCATAAACTGAGTGTGGAATTCTTTAGATCAAAACAATTTATCTAATCTTAACAATATCAAAATAATTACAATCACATCCTATACTATTATGGGATATGATCAGAACCAAATATATCCATAAGAATTATAATTCTGAAGCAGTTAATTTTTTTTATAACGGTCTTTTCTTTATCAAGTGGTCATCCATTGGCTGGGCATGGCGTTGCTTAGCTTCGGTGATAATAGAAGAACTGGTGTTTCAACTTGATATAGCTGGAGGCCCCAGAGATTGCTTTGAATAAAATGTCCTTATCTATAACAAATTTGGTTGCTAATATATGATATGAATTGCGACTTACCGTGAATAACGATGCACTCATTACTGCTGGAAAAAGCTCATGAAAAACGATAACCTGTTTTTTAAATCATATTATATCAGTTTTAGTCAGTCAGTTATGTGCCATGCGTGATACACGCTTAGGTGATCATGTATCTTTCGATACATAACTGACGAGACAGATATTTTCCCGCAGTAGGTTGCCATTTCTTTCTGTGGTAGACCTGTTGCCATATTGCTATTTACCCATAGCTGGAGAAAGACTGACTAACTATATCAGTTTAGAGACATTAAAATCACTATTTGATGATTTTTTAATACAAATTGTTAATGATTTTTAATACATAACTAGTTTACTATTCACTGCCTTTAACACTAACCTTAACCTTAACTCCTAGCCCCTAACCCCTATCCATAACACTAAAATATCTCGCACTTCCAACAGTTGGTAAATATCATACCATAGTAGAAAATGAATAGTAGATATCATACTGTAGTGGAAAATGGACGGTAGATATCATATTCTAGTAACATCCAAAATTGTGCTGAAGTGCATTGAAAACTCTCATCAAGAGATGTTGGCTTAGCTGAATAAATACCTTATAGATTACATGGCATAAGAAACCTTAGGAAAATATTTTCTCTGCTATGAAAGTAATACGTATATCTAACATGGAGGTATGTTTTCAGCAAAACGATACAAAGTAAAAGCAAAATTCAAACAAATAAAGAAAGTATTAACAAATCAGGATATTTAATCTGAAACAAAGTGTTAGACTGTTATTATATCGTCTTCTATATCACAGTGAATGCCGGGCAAATCTCTCTACAGATGAAAAAGGGACTTGAAGTAACAGAGATATGATTCTGCCAACCAATGCTGAAAATACCATGGAAGGAACATGTAAACAACATGGAAACTTTAAGGAAATTAGGAACTAAAATGACTCTTATGCTTACAATCAGAAAAAGATATGGAAA